TGCCTCCTTTGTGAGATTTTTGAATTGTTTGTGGTGTGTGTTTTTGGTGAGTGTGTGTAGTGTTTGAGTTATGTATATATGGTGAGTTGAGTTGTCATGAGTCAGGTGTGCTAGTGTGTTTGTGAGTGAATGGTACATCAGTGAGTGTTGTGCATGTCTCGCTTAGTATGTTACCTATTACTTGTATGCATGTATTTGAGTGTTTATGTGTTAAACCACAGATAGGCTATTCTTCCCTTAAAATGGGGATGTGGGCATTGGTGATTGGAATCCTCAAATCAGGTGTGTGTGTATGTGTATATTGTGTGTGCGCATGCGTGTGTGTGTGTGTGTGTTGTGTGCGTTTCCATATGTGATCTGCACTCAGGACCTCAAGAATTTCCTGAAGTGTCCTCCTTTTGGGGCACCATTACGTTAAATTACCAAATTCTAAGCAACACCCTGTTTCTTTAAAAGGATTTTCTTTCACTTTTATGTACCTGAGTGTGACTGAGTTGCTCAGAATTTTTCAACCTTTTCTTTATTTTTACTAAACATCCCAGGGAAACAAACAAGCAAACTAATCATAAACTCCAGGCATCATGATATGTGGAAGGTATTGGGCAGAATTACCATTAAATAGTGATGAGAACTTGGGGAAATTATATAAAACATTGGTCTCACTTTCATGTCTATAAAATGGAAAGAACGACACAAATTTTGTGAATCTTGCAGAGGCCCTCAGTAAATCATTATTGCACAAAGAGATCTTAATGTATTTGAGAACTTTTGTCAGTTGGAAAGTAAATAAATATGAAGGACTATAATTATCTAGTAAAGGGAATAAAAAAATTTTGGACAACTCTGGGTCCTCACAGCTCTGAAATAATATATTGTGTTTGGCACCTAAGCAAGAAAAAGGATGTTTCCCTGTGTAACAGTTAAGAGCATGGGTTCTGATCACACAGACATATTAGACTGAACCCCATGAAGTAGCTAACACTTGTTGATATTCAATTATAGAAATGGTAATACATACATATCAAGTTATAAACATTACATGTCACATATGTAATAGATACTAATAGACACACGTGTATTTGTGTGCCATTCTGTCCCTGCTGTACTGCTGTGTGCCTACAGAATTTGTGCCATTTATGTTTGTATTTCTTAAAAACTAAAATAGGTCAAAGAATACAAATCCTTAGAGCAGCTGTGAAGAGGTTTTAAAATCTGGGAATGTAAGGCTGATGTGTGGATTTAATTGGGAAATGTAGGTAAAGTCCTTAGCGTGGTACCCAAATGTTAATCTAAATGTTCAGCATTATTATGAAAGACTAGAGGCCTGGTGCACAAATTTGTGCACATCGAAAGGTTAATATCGCAATTTGCCCTTTCTCTATAATAGATGTGTCAACCCAAATCACGATCAGCAATGACAGAAACACAGGTGTGCGATAGGCGCCAGCGAGAGGTTTATATAAACTTGCTTAATTAGACCTGCTTTCTGATTTAGCTAAACTTTTCCCAGCCCAGTGAAGCATCCCAACTTCTCTTTCAGATAATTGTCAGCAATAGAGCAGTAAATATCAACATGAAGAAGGTTATTATTGTAGATCACACAGGGAGAACAAAGGTTAAAATATTTAACTGCCACAGTGTTTGATTATATTCTGTACAGTGAGAAAACCTAAAGTCATTTTCAAGTTATACCATTTCTTACTTCTTTTCAGTCGGGTCACATTTCTAAACTTTCTAAATCCCTGTTTTCCAGCAAATAGGATTCTACTGAGTCTCCTATCTACCTCTTCCAGGACTTCTGTGTGGATCAAATGAGATGTAGCATGTGAAAACACTTCACAGACATTTGGTTATAGTGTAAAATGTTTCCACCTGTCTATAATGCAAGTCATGTTCCTGGGCTGAAGAAACTCCAAGGGGGCCAATAGCTGGGGAGAGGAAGCTGGGTGTTGTTATGTGACATCATTACCCAGCACCAACAGCCACCATTTCTGGGCTGGTCTGATCGGGGCTGGGCTGTGGGCCTCATTTTGTGCCATGGGGTTTCGGCAGCAATGGCTGCGACTTGGTGGGCTGTCACTCAGGGTGGTGGCGGGTCTGTGTCCCACTTGGGGGAAGCTGAGTATTAATTTGTCGGCGCCAGGTCTGTGGTGCCATTTTTTGTAAATGGCCAGTGCATATCACAGCAGCTCCTGCCTTGAGCATCAGCCCCCTGGTGGTCAGTGTGCATCACAGAGACCAGTTGGATGGTCAGAGGGACACATAGCATATTAGCCATATATATATATATAGATACTTTGTGAATTATTTTGGTTTTGGAGATATTCTGGCCTCAAGTGGTTTCAATAGCCACCCATTTCCAGAGTGTCCCTGAGTTTACAGCTGAGGGTCAATGGGAGCGGGCAGGTTCACAGGAGGTCTGAGAATGCTCCAACAACACCCACTCAGCACTGGAGTCTCACGTTACTTTCAGGCAGAAACAACTGACACTGGTTTGCAGGGGCTCACCTTCCATTCCTGCCACAGTGGATCATTATGGTTTGGCTCTGGCCTGCTGTAGAAATGATCCCTCCATGCTCATCAGGGTGTAAACTCATAGAGGTAGGCACCTTGCTTTTCTTGCTCACTGCTGCACTGCAGTCCTTAGTAGAGGTTCCGACACAGACGTGATGTTAATAGTAATATCTGAATGAACAATGAACCCTCTTACATCTCTGTGATGAGGTTTTGTTGATTACTTTGAGGTTCAATGTTTTCCTGGAGCCAGGCTGGAATAGCGGGAAAATGCATACATCCACAGGTGTGTGATATTAATATGAAAGTATTTAAAAATTAATGGTTTTCCCAGAGAATGACAGTATGAGATGAAATGTCCTGGTTGTCTTTCTAGGTTCCTGAGACTCCCAACCCTTCTTCATCCCCAGCAGACAGAAGAGCAGCATGAGGCCTGAGAACCAGAGCAGCGTGTCCCAGTTCCTCCTCCTGGGGCTCCCCATCCCGCCAGGGCAGCAGGGCGTGTTCTTCACCCTGTTCCTGGGCATGTACCTGACCACGGTGCTGGGCAACCTGCTCATCATCCTGCTCATCAGGCTGGACTCTCGCCTGCACACACCCATGTACTTCTTCCTCAGCCACTTGGCCTTCTCTGACAGTTCTCTCTCCTCTGTCACTGTCCCTAAGATGCTCATGGACATGCAGACTCGGCAACAATCCATCTCCTATGGGGGGTGTATTTCTCAGTTGTATTTTTTCATACTTTTTGGGGCTCTTGACAATTTTCTTCTGGCTGTGATGGCATATGACCGGCATGTGGCCATCTGTCACCCTCTGCACTACACCACCATCATGAGGGAGAGGCTGTGTGTGCTGCTGGTGGCTGGCTCCTGGATTCTCTCCTGTGGCCAATCCCTGTTGCACACCCTCCTCTTGGTCCGACTGTCTTTCTGTGCTGACAATGCCATCATCCACTTCTTCTGTGACCTTGCTGCACTCCTGAAGCTGAGCTGTTCAGACACCTCTCTCAATGAGCTGGTCATATTCACCGAGGGAACAATAATTTTGTTTTTGTGTTTTGGTATTATTTTGGGCTCCTATATCCGTATAGGGACCACCATCCTGAGGGCGCCCTCCACTAAGAGACTGTTTAAAGCCTTTTCTACCTGTGGCTCCCATGTCTCTGTGGTGTCTTTATACTACGGTACATCTGCAGGTATTTACATTTCTTCCTCATCATGGGGTTCCAAAGACATAATTGCTTCGGTCATGTACATGGTAGTTACCCCCATGCTGAACCCCTTCATCTACAGCCTGAGGAACAGAGATATCAAACAGGCCTTAGAGGTGTGTGTCAAGAGGATTAAGTTCTTAAAGTGGCAATCACTGAATCCTCTGGTTGCAGTCAGGAGCACAGGGAAATATATCTCCTAAAATTACTGAATAGTCAACATCTCCATATAACTTTAATAGGATATGCAATCTGTTGTCATGTACTTTGTGGTTAATTTGTAAACTAGGTCAAGTTTGCTACATGGATTGTTAATAATGTTATATTCCTAGTTAGTGATTTTTGCTTGTTCATCATCTCATAAGTAAGAATAATTACATACACTATAAAAATTTGTATGTCCTACAAAGCAAGGAAGTTGGAGAAAGAGACTTTTTAGGAATGCATTTAAGAGCACACCACTAGTTTTATATTTAGGAAGAGTTTCTAGTAATGGGTCTTACCTTAATACCTCATCTACTTCTGATATTAATATAAATATGTTATTATCTATATAGATGTAGATACATATACAGAGAGAGATACAGCTAGATATTTAGATATTACTATAGCATAGTATAGTGAAGTATAGTATAGTATCATATGGTATGGTATGGCATGTTATAGTATGGTATGGTATGGTATGTTGAGGTATGGTATGGTATGGCATGGCATGGCATGACATGGCATAGCATAGCATAGCATAGCATAGCATAGTATAGTGTAGTATAATATAGTGTAGTGCAGTTTAGTTTAGCATGGCATGGCATGGGCACAGCATAGCATAGCATAGCATAGCATAGTGTAGTGTAGTATAGTACGTATGGTATAGTATAGTCAGGATGCAGCTTTATCCTGGTTGGTGTTTAAATGGTATTTCTTTTCCATCAATTTAAACATTTCTTTGTCCTTATATCTGTGAGGTGTGCCTTGTTCAATATGTAATGCTGGATATTGTTCATTTTATGTAAAACAACAATTATTATATTTCTGGATATACTGTCTATGGACATCTAGTATAATTACAGTACATTAGAATTTATATTTTCCTTATTACTAGAGTTGACATTTGATTCATCTGTTTCACACATACTCCTCTTTTTTCCTCTGTTTTAACCCCTTCCCCGGCAGAAACGTGTATACTCGTTTTCACAAAATGTTCTTTTTCAGTCGTCGACGAGTATACTAAGAAAATATGGTAAAAAAATATGGTTTATAGGAAGACGAGTTACAAACTGTTTTCATAACCAGCATCAAAAATACTATATAGAACCAAAATAAAAAAATTAGTCTGAAAAAGAAACGTTTTTAACAAAAAAATTGTTGGGGAAGGGGTTAAAACTGTTATAATAATGTTTTGC